AACCTTCCCATAAACATGTTTGGCCTTAGAGCTGCCTTGTTTTTCCTCAGTTTACTCTGGTTTAGACTGGTCCAGTCTGACACACAATATGATTCACATGATGTTTGTTAATCAAATCGGAATGACACAAACAAGAGTCTCTCTCGCTTATGAGGCCAGCTCTAATGCATTATTTGATGCTCTCCTTCTGTAGAAAGACCTGTTTAACCCTAAGGCATCCAAAAGGCGCCTCAGTAAAGCAAAGTAGGAATTTTTCAAGTGAGTTCCTTCAAAAAGGTTATAATTAGTTAATATCTTACCTGCAGTAGGTCTTCCAAGTAGTATCCCAATTTATTTTATTATTTTTCTCCCTGGCAAGAGACTGAAACCAACTTGTACTCCAAAGTCATACATTTTATGGTGGTTTATGTAATGGATGCTGATTAAATAAAATATCAGATAATAGATAACCCAGAAATCTAAATTTAACAAATTTAACAAAATCAAAAATATACAAACAACACATGTCTTCTGTGCCGATACCAGGCCAGATTAATATTGTATTTCAATACAGCAATTGAGTCACGATACGTTTTTCAGATTAACTGTACCATAGACCAACCTTTTTTGACTTGTGCAACCCTTTGTGAATATTGTGTTACCATGAGTACCCCTCTCAGTCAAAAGTATTGATGATTGTCCAAAAGTGGAACCTGCAGTAACTGATTATAGAAGAAAAACTATTTTACTTAATCTTTTAATTTGAGAATTTAATTCCTGGGCATTTTATTCTTTCCATCTCAAATAAAAATAACACAAATATGTATAAATAACTTTATAATAAATGTAGGATTATTTTTCATTGAATAATTTGTTTTTTGCATATCTTTTGTAAAAGCCTGCTCAAAGTAAACAGGCAACAATATAATGAAAAGAAAGTAGTTTCTAAAAATCCTTTTCAACTCAAAGGAAAAAAAACACATCTGCCTCTTTATAAGTTCTGAAATATTTTTTAGGGGTTGAAAAACCTGGCAAATAAAAGGCAAAGGTTTGCTCTATTATACTGAGTTTTACACTTTAACAAGGATCTGAAACAGGGATGTAAATAAACCGTAATCTGAGACAGAGCCCTCTCTCTGCCTGGACCCGTCCCAATCGGCAGGGTGTCAGCAGCTGTTTTCCCAGTTGTTTTGTTCCCAGCCTCCACTCATCATGTGTCCTTATTGGCTGCGTACAACCTGCTCCCTGAGGGAAGAGAGAATGTACTGTTCTTAAAAACCTTAAGAAGTGAATCAATTACCATTCAGATACTTTTATTTTCATTCAGAAACATTTTGCCCTCCTCTATCAATTAATGAAGCAGATTTTGTGTTTAACACATGCAGACAGAAGAACTCTAATATTATCCCACCTTGCATTAGCTGTAGAGGACAGAACAAGACTGCATTAGCATATTCATCATCAGTTAAGCAAAGAGGATGGTCAGGTCCTTTGACTTTCAGCTTTTTAATTAAATCTTGTTAAAAATGAAAAAGAATTACTTGTTTTTAAAGGTTTTCAATGAGTTCTGGAAGTTAACTAGAAGATTTATTGGTGAAAATTCTCCATTAAGACCAAAAAAGAACATTCTAAGACATAATCACTTTGGTTAGTGTATGCAATTTTAATCAGTGTTGAAAATATAAAAAAACACTCTGGGTTAAATCCCTGTAAAGACTGAAATATAGATTCTAGGGTCTTTTCTTGTTTGTTTTCTGCAAGCATGTAAGCATTTCAGAAGCACAAAAAGAAAAGCATAACATTTTGAAATGGAAATTAAAATCCCAAGCAGAGACTTGAACAACCATGCTTGAATCTGATTAGAGACGACTGTCGATGCAGCTAACTGACCCAAAGGTTGTGACTTGAGTTTTCTGAAAACAATTAGATTTTGTCCGGTTGTGCAGACAAATGTGTCTTTCAACAAAACAAGCAATGACTGAGCGAGCGCACACAATAACAACCTGACCAAGAAAAATGTTTCTGAAAGGTCAACTGTGGAAATCACAAGAAAGAAGAGCTGCAAAGGAATTTGTTTGTTTGTCTTCAAGTCATAACAGGACACTGGTCTTTTTTTTTTTTTTTTACTCTAACATACCCACTATAATATAACTATGTAGTTATATTCAGTAATCAAATGTCCATATGTCACCAATTATGGGATGGGTTTGTTTTGGATGTAGAGGTTTTAAGGTGTTGGCTCTGGTTTAAATCAGTCCCCACCTACAAAGCAGGGTAAAGTTTAAAGCACTCTACTGTCTAAATATAATAATATGTTGCAGGTGAAAGCTCCTCCTATGTGTTTTGGTCAGTTACTGGTAACACCCAACATGTAAAATGTTTTTCCTGCATTGGTCATAAGAAGAGATAGTCTTAGCAAAGCATGACGACTGAAATACTCACAGAAGGAGACTTTTGTTGCAACCTCAGGATATAAGCTACGGTATAAGATTAACAAGACATGGGTATTTTCTTTTCTGCATAATAGCAAGGTTGCTAGATCAAATGTGTGTTCAGAAAGTAAATATTTATGAAAAGGGGAATATATGTAGTTAGGGATCTGACAAACTGGTATCATTTCCAGGTATTCAAAAGTGAACAATGTGAGGAATAAAAAAATAAATCTTGCCATATGTAGGATGACAGGTGAGGATTTGAAGAAAGAGCTGATATAGCTGCATTGGTGTCCATGGTGTGGCTGTTAACCCTCTGCTGGAGCTACATGTCCCAGTCAAAACAGCAACTGTTGATTGCAACCAACAGAAACAGAGCCTCATTCAAAAGGGATGGATTTTAGGTAGATCACATTTTTTGGAAGGTGTGACCCAAAGACCTAAATGTTTTAGAAGACTGTTGAAAAAATAAGTGTCACTTATTTATGTTTGAATCCTCTAGCTCTAGAATATTATGTCTGTATGTTAAAGTTCTGACAAACATCAATTGTTTTCTTTAGCGTTTCCAGTTTTACCTAAATGTGAGTATCTGTTTTGAACCTTTTTGGTCATAAGACCCCTCACACCCCCAACATGGACTGTTCTCCCTGCTGCCCTCTGGAAAGAGACGTCGAAGCATCGGATGCAGGTTCAGCAGATTCCAGAACTGCCATTAGACTGCAAAATGTTGTATAAAATGGGGTTTATAAAAACAAAACAAACAAAAAAAACCCTGAAAGTTGGAATCTGTAAATCATAAAGTCATATGTTTATATTTATCCCTGCTGCACTTTGAAAAACCTGTACTGAAAGTTTCTTTATGTATACTCTCTATGTGTAAAAAATAACAATAAAATCTGTCTAAGTCTTTTAGTAATACTGGCTAAATGTGCTATGCTTTAAAGTCACTTGTTTAACCTCTTACAAGTAAGTTAAAAAGAATGCTTAATCAGAATCTGACTCAGACTTATACAACCGCTTGAATTTGATTAGCAAAACTTACCAATTTTCTTTTCTTTTGAACTTGTAGGGTAATTAATAATATACCAAAATACAGATATAAGTGACCAAGCTTCTTTTTTTTATTTTTTTTTATTTACAGATTAGTCCCTTCTCCAATGAAAAGCCTGGGATTTAAAGTCCCAGGTATTTCACCAGGGAATTCTGCAGCCTGCTGTTTCTGGAAATCTGAAAGGAAAACAAAACACATAAACAGACCTAAAAGTCAATCCTAATTTATTGTTCTGTGATGAGTCATAATGTTACAAATGAGGACTGAGACTATTGACTGCATAGAAAATAAGTGGACTTTGGACAGGTTCTCCTAAAGCTACTATCTGCTGGGCACACTTATGAATAAAGAACCCGCTTTGTTTGCGTTTAGTTTCATTTTATGTTTTTAGTAACTTCAGCTTCTATGTTTGGTCTTCAAAAATGTTTGCTTCTT